GAGAATGATGGAGAGTGATGTGTTTGTTCTTTAACTTTGTTATTCAATCTTTGGCAATTTTTATTGACTTTGGGTCGGGACCTCGACTTAGATAATCATACGCTTGAATCATATATGTTACACTCCAGATGTTTGAAGTTTCTTCCTCCAATAGGCTTGCTTGACTGACCGCCATCTTCTTCCAGTGTTCTTTTAGCATGAAAGCTCTCCACCCCCATCATCATACTATTACACAACAAAAATACGACCTTTATTAGCGTCGATTTTCAGAGAGATGGAGGTTCGTTGCCATTTTCGTCTGTACATGGACCACCTCTTTCTTCGAAACACAAAGAAAGCGAATAGCCATCAGGTATATTCTCAAGGGAAGTGATTGTGTTTCTTGCAACAAGATTGGTTTCTATTTTTTCTTCTTCTTCAACAACCACTAATGCCTAATGGAATCCCTAAAATCGATTTCAATATAAAACTAGCTCTAGTTTCTCTCTAATTCATCTGTAAATTGGAAATGAATTACAAGCAACAATCATTATCCACTATCACTCATCATCTAGACTCCTCTGCATATAGTGAGGTAAATCATTAGATTCAATATTTTTATCATTTAATTTTTGTCAACTGTCACTTTACTCCTTCCTGACAAAGCATGGTTCCTACATCAATTTTCGACTTGCACGTAGCCTGTATGGCAGGCTTCCAAAGAGACGACCTTTAGACGCTTGAGATCCTACCATCTACCATCTCAGCAAATTTTTTAAAAAAAGTATTATTATTCATGTATAACTATTATTTTCTCCTAAATAAATATTACCTTTATTATTTTACAGAAATGCATGACACAAATGATAATTCTTGTTGTTACCTTCCCATTTTTTGGTCATTTTTATGATTAGCTCCATAAAGTATTACTAGAGTTCAATTTATTTTCTTTATTTCATATATACCCCTTTTCATGATTATGGGCAGTGAAAACTTACTAATGTATTACTTTCTAAGGAGCTAGCACGGTACCTGAAGGTGATTGTTTTTCTTTTTTACTTTTTGTTTGACTTTTTAGTTGCATAAAATGCGAACCTTTTTTAATTTACTTATAATTTTTTGGAATTAGGAAGAAGGTGTGAAAGTGACTGCGAATTCATTTCCTCTCTATACCGATTCAGGTGAGTGTCGACCTCTCTTTCTTAGAAGTCAAAACGTCCATGGATGTTTAAGTTTTACGCATTTGTTATGATGTTCACAAGTTATGTTGATAGAGTAATTTTATTCTCTTTTCTTCTCGTTAAATGTTGTTTGAATTTCAGTTGATTTACATCATACTAGCAATCTCACCTGCCAACCACGATATTGCAACATCTGGCGCAATTAAACTTGCCATAGTATTCGATACATTAGGTATGTTTTCCATATTTTGTCAAAATAGTTATTTTTCTCGACAGTTTTTCTTATGACGTATTTCTAAATTGATCAGGTGAAAAGACTTTTTATATGTTGAAAAATCTTGACCTCATGGACAAAGGAACCCCTTAGGTTAGCCTTCTTTTTCTCAATCAATCCCACATAGCTGAGGGGTCCATGGATTGGTGCGCCTACATGGAGTTTACTATTTACAAACTTCTCTCACATATCTAAAGTGATTGGTTAATGTCGGTAGATTCCATACCCCTTACTACAATTGAGGAAGATCTTGCAAAACATTTGATAGCTTGTGGATTTACCTCTACCCTTAAAGGTAAAAATGAAGTCTTTTTCACTTTAATTAAAGAAATAAATTTTCATATTACAATATGCATAAAAATTTGATATTTTTCTCCTTTTCTATTGTTTACAGAAGGATAATTGTCTTAGAAATGCAAAAGTACGATCAACTACAACCTAAATTATTCATAGATACAAGACACTTAGAGGAAATGTACAATAAATACAAAGGTAAGTTATGTGTTAACCATTTTGTTGTCATTTTTCTTTTGTTTGTAATATGGTTCATTACTTTTTTATATGCTTGTGCTCTTATCTTGCTTTATAAATGCTTATATACGAGTTGCTTTTCAGTTGATGATGGATTCTTTACAATATTCAAGTGATATCTATTATCTTTCTGACATGTGGATCCATAAGATATTGTTATGGTATGTTAAAAATTAAATGTAAAGCATAAGTTTATTAATTTACAAGCACCAACTTACTATAAGTGTAGAACAATAGTGATTTTTATGAGTTTTGTACAAAATGCCTGTGCATACTCTTTTTTTGATAAAAAAAAAAATTTGATTTTGACATTTATTACCAAACTGTCCCTATATACTCTTTCTTAGTAAAACAATATTGATTTTATATTATTTGTTTAACAACAAAATAGAGGCTAAACCAAGCCAAAACAAGACCCACACTCGAAACCTTCACTTACAACAAATGAAACAAGTACCGGTTATAAATGATTTTTGCAACATATTTGTGAATTGCCTTCAAGACAATGATAAGGTCAGTTTATTTATTCTATTTTTTTTTTTTAAATTTCATTCCAGTTGTTACTAACCCTAGTACAAAAATGATCTACAGACACACCAAAAAAGCGTGATTATATGCGTATAGTGACATTTTATTTTTTCATTGAAAATGTAACGGAAAGTAACGTCATCGTATGAGTCTTATGGTCACTTTAAAATGTAGTGTCCGTATAAAATGAAAGCATGTGGTCATATTATAAAAGTGTGGCAATTGTGTATGGAATTTTGTTCCTAAAATCAATCATTTTATCCAATATTGTAGCGTTAAACCGTCAGCAGACACATTTATTTAGTAATTTTAGTGACTGTATATCACCAACTTGCGACATGCATGTTGTTTTAGTGTGTTGATTTCTAATATATTGTCACACAATTTAAAGTTTATTAAGACTATTGTGTATCTTTTGCAAACATTTGGTTACGGTGAGTATGACCATGTTCGCTAAATGGCCACATGTAATTAATTCCATAAGTGGCGATTTGCTAATAATTAGTCACAAAAACAATCAATTTTTTTTTACTATTGCCTATCGTATAGAGACACACAATGAAGTGAAACACAATCATAAGTATTATAAAGACACACATTTTATTAAAATTAAAGACTATTGGGTATCGTATAAAGACTATTGGGTATCTTTTAATAACATGTAATTTTATATGACCGTGTTCGCTAAATGGCCACATGTAATTAATTTCGTAAGTGACGATGTGCTAATAATTAGTCACATAAACAATCAATTATGATATTTATTTGCAACAAATTTTATTTTATGTTGTTATTGTTTAACTTATAGTCACAAAAACTTTAGCAAAAATATCATTTAAAACAATTGTAGACTCATAATTCGTATATATTATGGCTATTGTTAACCGTTTAGCCACATGTTAAAAAATGATGTAAAGTAACCATTGTATAATTTTATAAACATTCAAAATCTATAAAACATAGCCAAATTTATTTTAAAGCCACAATAATTCAATTTTTATAGTTACTTGTTCTCTATTGTAGACACATCAAAATAATATAAATTAAAGTAACCAAACCCAACAACATGAAATAATATCAAAATTCATAATTTGATATTACTAATAATTGAAATCCGAATCCATACATTAAAACCCTAATTAAAATACCAAAAAAAGAAAATTGTACTAATTGCAAGTATACAAATTATGGTAAATAAAGCAAACACATCATAAACCAAAACCTAAACAAAACTAAGCATTCATGTTATTGGTACTGCTCCTTGTCTTCTTGAGAAGAGTATCAGGTGATATCTAAGTTAGTTTCCTCTTCTTTAAGTTTTAAAATTCATGGTCTTAATGTGATATCATATCTAGTACGTATACCAACAACATTGAAACAAAAAAATGAGTTCATTAAAAACTAGTTTATGAAGAAAAAAAAATGTAATGCACAAAGAAGTAAACATAAACAAACCTTTGAATCAGCTTTCACAAGGTATTTTGGCCATGGAACAAAACTTTTATACGCCTGCCCAACTATTTTGAATTCTGCAGTTTCATGGGGTAGAAATGAATCTTTTTTTTTACCAATTCATCAATGGAAACTTTATAGCAATCATCTTGTAAAGGAACTACATGAATGAAATGTCTTTCTGATGATAAGTGAACGGTACCACAAGCAACAATGTTCCTTTTATTCAGATATGATAGACTACACTTGATTGGCTATAATGATAAGTAATATTAGAGTCTGAAACAAATAGACAGGAATGTATATTCAGCATGAAAAAAAATACTGATCTAGTGAAAGGTTTTTTTTTTTTGTGAAATTGTTAATATCTCAGGATTGATAGTGGTAGACTTAGACTCAACAACTTTTCTGGTGGGTTTTGGTTTTACCTAATATAAAGATTCAAGACATATATGTAAAATTATATTTTAATATAAAAAGAGAAATTAAAAGTAATGAAAACTGTAAAGTTAGTATGTACTAGTGTCACAGATTTCAGGGAAGACAATTGTGTATCGGGAGTTGCAGTTGCAGATTTGGTTTGAACTGTTTTCTTGGTGGAATTATACAATTACCTAAATAAGTTAAATTCCCAAATCAAAAGGTAGAAATTAGTACCAAAAAAATATATAACAATGATGATCTTGTGAGATGATGACATATTGGTGTTAAGGGTTCTAATGGTTCCTTGGTTTTGAGACTAACAAGTGTTTCACTACTTTCAACAATCTTGTCACTTGAAATATACTTGCAAATATAAAGAAACAGGGAATATATATATATATATATATATATATATATATATATATATATATAACAAATGCAATTTACAAGTAATATTGTCAATAGATGTTGTTTATAAGATAACTTACAAGTGTTGGAGGTAGATTTGCATAGTCGGCTCCTTTTGCAATAAGATGAGCCAAAACTAGCTTTAGTGTTTGATCTTGTTCATTAACCTTTGTAGATAAACCATTGAGTTCAACATTTTTTTTCTCAAGATCAAGTTTTCCATTCTACAGTGCAACTTTAAGATATTTAATTTCCTCCTTAGAAGATCCTTTGTAGCGAGGAACATTGAAATATCTATTGTACGTGACTTCCGTGCCGACACCCTTTAAAAATCCGCCCTTTTCCTTGCCAAAAACTAAGGTCAGGGCATCCGTGCCCGCTTCAACATTTAGTTGTCCTACTTTTATCTGCTTTTCATGTTCCATCTAGCACAAAAAATTTGATTAATTATTGTCCTACAAAAAACCGATACAAATCCTTAAAGTAAAAGTCATAAAATAGTTTAGTGAAGTTACTAGTTTATCCGACATGAGTTTAACATCTTCATCTTTAAATTCTCCTTTACTTTCACGTCCTTTACACAACATAATCGACCTTGGGGGCATTTCTTCATTTGAAATCACTTTCTCTTCAATCTTGATAAAAAATAAAATTGTAAAAAATATAAAGCAAAATCCTGTTAACTACAATGCTATGAAGTTAATACAATCGGATCATATAGCTAAAGACCAAGCTTACCAACTTCCGCCTTAGAGTCGTATACCCCCTCGTCCCATCCGATGAGCATACTTTGACATCTTTCGTGCTTTCATAGTCCTTTGTGACACAACCTATCAAAAAAAAAGATTTGACAAGAACTTTTTGGTAAGTTTGTGATAAATAATGGAAGAAGTTTTGGAAAAAAATTGTAACATTAAACTCTTCAGATTGCGTATATTTCACAAATTTGTTACAGTCATATTTTTCAGTAATCAGTGCACGATCATGAATGGAGATTTTTGAAAGCTTTTTGGTATTTCCTAGATTTGGCTTGATATAATATGCATACAATTTCCTTCGAAAGTTTCGTATAAGGATACCAAGCCTATTCATCAAAAATTGTTTTCCAGTTTCATCAACTTCAAAAAAGAGCTAAAACGAAACAATAATGAATATGTTAGTAACACATGATTTATACATATAATATGAGATGCAGTTAATAATAGAGAAAATATTATTTACTTTAATCTCTTCCCATAGTTCTCCTTTACTTCTGGGGTTACTTTCTTCCATCCTAAAGCACCCAATCCCACTTTCTCGTGGATAAGATCTCAGAAATAGCTAACGAACAATGCATTATACTTAGCCAAAAACTTACCCAATTCATCGAACTGTACATGTTTTTTTGCCACCAAAATTGATATACTCAGTCGTTAGTTTTGGCAGTCGTGTGATGCTCCTCTTCCTATTTGATCTTGTGGGAACTGGGTCTTGGATATCTTCATCAGAATCTGAATTGCTATTGTAATCATTGTTTTTTCCTTCCACATCTTCGGTATCTGAATCATACACTTATGTGCCATCATCATCTTGCTCATATTCCAGATCATACTCGGGCATATCATCATGTTGTTGGTTATTCACCTCCATGATTCTTTGGTTGATATGAAACATAGGAAACAATTTTAATTAGTGGTATATAGATGAAAATTATGGAATAATCAATGTGATTTAAATAGTATAAAATTAATACGCCATAAATGGAGGTTTGTTACCAAAATTAAGGAAAATTACTTGATCCCATGTAATGATCTTCACAGTTTTGGCGGTAAGATAGATGAAAACTTCCTGCATTGATTTGAAGCAAAAAATGATATCGAAATAGGTTTCCTCCCATTGTAATTGCATAAATTGTTTAACATAATCAAATCGTTTCTAGTATTTATTCTGGCACTATACCAAGAGAACCGTGTAACCATTTGGAAACATGGACTTTTGGAAACTTAATCCTTATAGATGTGTTTTTTATATTAATATATATATATATATATATATATATATATATATATATATATATATATATATAATAGGAACAATTTATAATATATTTATACTTTAAGATCCAACCCCAATTCACTTGTGTCACTAACCTACCCAACTGTAACCGGCCCATACACCTAACTCATACATCTAAACCCTAACTCACATGTGCCACTGACCTATCCAGTTGGAACCGGCCCATACACCTAACTCATACATCCAACCCTAACTCACTTATCCCACTGACCTACACAAATGTAACCCATACACCAAACTCAGACATTTAAACCCTAACTCACCTGTGCCACTGACCTACCTAGCTATAACTGGCCCATACACCTAACTCATACATCCAAACCCTAAATCATCTGTGCCACCAACATACGAAGCTCTAACCCACACATCGAACCCAAACTCACTTGTACCACTGCCCTACCAAGCTGTAACTGAACCATACACCAAACTCATACATCTAATCCCTAACTCACTTGTGCCACTAACCTACCCAGTTGTAACACGCCCATACACCTAAGCCAGACATCCAAACCCTAACTCACATGTGCCACTGACCTACCTAGTTGTAACCGGCCCATACACCTAACTAATACATCAAAACCCTAAATCATCTGTTCCACTAACATACCAAGCTCTAACCCACACACATAAATCATACATCCAACCCTAACTCACGTGTGCCACCGACCTACCAAGTTCTTATCGGACCATACACCTAACTCATACATCTAAACCCTAACTCACCTTTGCCACTGACTGACCCAGTTGTAACCGGCCCATACACCTAAATCATACATCCAACCCTAACTCATTTGTATCATTGACCTACCCAACTGTAACCCATACACCTAACCCATACATCCAAACCCTAACTTACATGTGCCACTAACATACCTAGCTTAAATTGGCCTATACACCTAACTCATACATCCAATCGAACTCACCTATGCCACTGACCTACCTAGTTGTAACACTTACACCTCATACATCCAAACCCTAACTCGCCTGTGCAACTGCTTTACCTAGTTGTAACTGACCCATACACCTAACTCATACATCCAAACCCTAAATCACCTATGGTGTTAACTTACCAAGCTCTAACCCACACACCTAGCTCATACATCCAACCCTAACTCACATGTGTCACTAACCTACCCAACTATAACTGGCCCATACACCTAACTCAAACATCCAAACTCTAAATCACTTGTAACACTAACATACCAAGCTCTAACCCTTACATCAAACTCATACATCCAACCTTAACTTACCTGTACCACTGACCTACCCAACTGTAACCGGCTCATACATCTAACTCACACATCCAACTCCTAAATCACCTATGTTACTAACCTACCCAACTGTAACCGGACCATACACCTAACTCATACACCCAAACCCTAATTCACATGTGCCACTGACCTACCTAGTTGTAACCGGCCCATACATCTAACTCATACATCCAACCCTAACCATCTTTGATCTCAAATTTAATACTATACATACAAATTTAATCTAAAATATATTAATGAATTTGTAATTCTATTTTTCAATAAACCCCATACTTAGATATATAATAATGTAAAAATTAAAAATAATTTTTAATATATGTTGTTACATAAAAACATAAACAATATTGAGTATGATAATTACTAAATGCTATATTAAGTTATTATACATACATACATACATACATACATACATACATACACACACACACACACACATATATATATATATATATATATATATACATAGTCATCATCATCGCCGTCATTCAAACTACACCTCCTCTACAATTAGTCGAAAATGAATGATGATACTCTGTGTCGATGTCTCTTCAACTGCAATTTATCATCGATATAAACCCTCCAACTATATGAAAATGTTCATTCTCACACTTGGTAGACACAAAACTTCATCACCAATCTATGATCATTTACAAAGGAAAAATTTCTTGATCAATCAATGGCAGGACAGATGAGCATCGATCTATGGGCGAAGAAAAGGTTTCAACTGTGGAGCATTACAAAGGAACTACGACCACAACTATATTCGTGCAATATGGGAAAGGTAATGATAACAAAATAATGATTAGAGTAGTTCATTGAGTAAATTTTACCAATTTTCCAGGTAAATCCTATGCAAAAACATCAGTAGCTTACATTACTTGGCTCAACATCGAATTTCTAGACAAGGAGATGCTAGGAAGATTTTCTAAAAGTCTGGATTATGAGACATTTTGTTACTAGTACTATATGCCCACTGAAGAGCAATAGGGGTTTACCATGATGCCAATTATAGACGAGAATGTGTTGGGAAATTTCAAACTGATGGCTAAGGCACACAAATTTCATGAAATTGAACACTTGTATGTAGAGCACAAGACTAAACTTGTCCCAATGAATTTCCCCCATTACTTGTTGAACGCACCATCAAATAGGATAGAAAAGCTTATTGATCACTTGGTCACAGAAGGCCCAAGAGCAACAGTTGATGATGGAATTGCATACATCATGCAAATGATGAACATGACAATTACAAGAGAAAATATTAAAGATTTGATGGACATGGCTAAATAGAATGTCATTGCATGGAAAATGTTGTAGTGTAGGCAAGTTTAATATGTTTTTGTAAAGTTAGCTTAATGGATGTTAATATGATATATATGGTATGAAAATGTGGATGTAACACAACATCCAATATTGTGGTTATTTTGATTTTTGTTTTTTTATTTTTTTATTTTTTATTATGGTAGTATGATATCAATATACTTTGGTTTTAATTCACAAATTATCAATATTTTATTATGGCATTGTAATTATAGTTGCATTTCGTTTAAACACATGATCATAAAGAACTAATGTGTAGTGGTATCTATAATAAGGGTTACTATAATAGTGAACAATTTTGAATATGGAATTGTACTTTGAATTTAACAATTTAACTCTTTAATTTTTATGTTAATTAATGATTATTAGAAAGCTAAAAAAATATTAATTAAACAGTTTAAGATGGAAGGCAAACAGGGGTGTAACTATCTATATTTTATTCAATTTAGAAGAGTAAGTGAAAATGTTAAACAATTTTTTTTCCAGAGTTAGTGTAATCAGGGGTATTTTAGTCTTGTAAAGATATCTACTTAAATGTTTAAGATGGAAGGAAATCAGGGGTGTAATTGTCTCTTTTTTATTCAATTTAGAACAGTTATTGAAAATGTTAAACAAATTTTTTTTGACAGTTAATGTAATCACGGGTGTTTTTGTCATTTTTTTGTTTTTTTATGTTTAAACGAAGAGATCTACTTAAATGTTTAAGATGGAAGGCAAGAAAGGGTGCAATTGTCTCTTTTTTTATTAAATTTAGAAGAGTAAGTGAAAATGTTAAACAATTTTTTTGACAGTTAGTGTAATCAAGGGTATTTTTGTTATTTTTTTTATGTTAAAACAAATAGATCTTCTTAACTGTTTAAGATGGAAGGCAAGCAGAGGTGTAATTATTATTTTTATTCAATTCATAAGAGTAAGTGAAAATGTTAAATTAATTTTTTTTTGGACAGTTAGTGTAATCAGGGGTATTTTTGTCATTTTTTGTTTTTTTTTTATGTTAAAACAAAGAGATGTACTTAACTGTTTAAAATGGAAGGCAAGCAGGGTGTAATTGTCTCTTTTTTATTCAATTCAGAAGAGTAAGCGAAAATGTTAAACAAAATTTTATTGACAATTAGTGTAATCAGGGTATTTTGGTCTTTTGTTAATGTTAAAATAAAGATATCTACTTAATAGTTTAAAATGGAAGACAAGCAGGGGTGTATTTGTCTCTTTTTTATCCAGTTTAGAAAAGTAAGTGAAGATGTTAAACAATTTTTTTTGACATTTAGTGTAATCAGGGGTATTTTGGTCTTTTTTTACTATCAAATATAATATGTAATAAATATTTATAGTTTTCTTTTATCATATCCAAATATATTATGTATTAAAATGCAACCTAGTTGGTCAATGAAGATGGATTTACTACATATTTATTCTGGAAGATTGTGGCTTCAAACCCCGCTTACAACATTTTTTTTTTTTATAAATTACATCTTAGTTAAGTCTGTTACACACTAGATAATATCCTTAAGTAATTCATTTGTCAATATGTAATTTCCTTCATATGTTTTCCTTTTTTTCGACATATCATTGATGAGTCGTATGAATTGACTAAATATGCGTATTCATGCTATATGATTTTTCTTTGAAGCATTCTCTAGTCAACACAAAGTCGTTGCTAATACTAAGTAACTTCTATATAAGACACTGATACAGGTACACAAAGTCGTTGCTAATACTAAGTAACTTCTATAAATCAGAATTCCAAAAAGCTTTTGCTAGTAGAAGTAGGAATATACCAAAAAAGAGAAAATCAAAGCAAGTGGTTAGTTCAAATGTTAGCCAACAAGATACCACATACTGGAAGAATTTAATATATGGTATAGGCGGCTGAGGTATTGGCAACCCAATTTGATTCCACATTGTTTTGATTTTATGCACCTTACAAAGAATGTGGGAAAGAATATAGTGTGAAGAATGCTGAACATTCTAGGGAAGATGAAAGATGGTTATAAAACCAGAGTTGCATCCTAAGAAAGATGGGACCAACACCACACTCCCCCCCCCCCAGCAGGTTGCACATTGACAAAAGAGGAAAAATACAAGTTCCTAGAAACTTTTTACCACTTAAGGGTTCACAAGGGTATAGTGCTAATTTTTCTAGTTTGGTGAGTCTGAAGGAAAGGAAGCTGATCGGAATCAAGTCACATGACTATCACATGCTCATGCAACAATTTTTACCCATATCATATCGGTATATTATGCATCCACTAACTAGAGCCGCTTTTACCAGATTATATTTATTTTTCAAAACAATATGTAGCAAAGAAACCAAAGTGAATGAGCTCGATAAGTTGCAAGAAGAGTTATGTGTAACCTTATGCCTTCTTATGAAACAATTTCCACCATCATTTTTTGATGTGATGATTCACTTAACCGTTCACCTTACTAGAGAAGTAAAATTATGTGGTCCAATATTCTTTAGATGGATGTACCCGTTCGTGAGGTATATGAAGGTTATTAAGGGCCACATACGAAACAAAAATAGAGCAGAAGACTGCATTGCAAAAAGAGAATGTTGCAAAAGAGACGATTGAGTTTTTTAGTGAATTCATAAAAAAACATGAATATTATTGGCCTTCCACCTGAGAAGCATAACACAAGTAGTGGAATTCAAAGAGGTGAAGATACAGATGGGACTCCCTTATAAGCTGCTAAACCATTAGAAGTTTCTCCACAACACTTCAACAAAACACATTTCTTTGTATTGCAAAATACATCTGAAATACTCCCATATATTAATTAAGGTTTTTACATGTATGTAATATTTTTTGTTATTGTTGTTGGATTAGTGTCTAAGCCCATAACTATTATTGGTATGTATTTGACTGGACTTAGCATGGTCCATTTGGGTTGCACTTATGGATAGTATTTTGAGAATAGTATGTTTATGATTTATATTAATATATTATAAGCTCTAGTATATTAATATGGAATCATATTATTTAATTAGTATTGATCATGAATTAGTTTAGAATTAATTTAGTGATAAAAAAGTAACTAATTAAATATGTACTTGTATATTTATATAGAGTGGGCCAAGTTCATTTAGGTTGGGCTAAGCTTGCATGGATAGTCCATGGAGTTTTTAACCCATAAATTCTATGGAAATGAAAGGTCATGAGTATTAGGGTTTACATGAATGTAACTCTAATTTACCACACTATATAAAGGAGTCCTTGGCACATTAAATGGCACTAGTTTGTGTGAAAACAAGAGTGGGTCATTTCTAGTGTACTTATTATTCTCTCAAGTTTACAAGGTGTTTTGGTGATTTGTGATTCCACTTAAGGATTCCATACTATTGGGGCTAAGCTCTTAAAGTTCAAGACTTCAAGCTTAATCAAAAGGTATGTCATCTAACTAGGTTTTTCTAGTATAGTTGCTTCATATTATGGTAGTTAAGATAAAGCCTTAGAATACTGAATATTTGCCTGTATAATAGAGAAAACATAGTTCCAAGGTTTATAGGGTTGCATGTACACCATAGGAGTGTTAGAATGCTCAAAACCCAACAATTGTACACTACTGTGTCCTTTTTATAATAACATTTAGATATGTACAGTCGACACATGGATTTTTTGCAACAAAAACAACCGACTAAACGAAAAGCACATCTAGAGAGAGAGCATAGTGATACATTTGGTCATTGGTTACGATAGGAGGTACTTTATTTTCTTATATATTGTTTTTTCTTAATTTATTGGGGGCCTAACTGGTTGTAAGTGGTACACTAACACATTGATTGCTTGTTATAGCAATGTACTAAGGCATGTACTTTCCAATACACTCTTGCTAATCATTATGTATTTCCTCAATCTGTAAAATTCATATTATGAAACTATTAAGGTAGAGAGGGAGTTATGGGTCTGCAAAGAAAGTGTAACAGAGACAATGAGATGGAATTCTCATGGACCACACAAAAACATTATTAAATACGATCTCTATGCTATCAATGGTTATACTTTTCATATAAAATCTCGTGAAGGAAAAATTTACCAGACAGTGGGGTTATTGTCATTGCAACTGACACACACACATTAGTAAAGAAGTTGTAACGTATGTCCAAAACACTTATTATGTTGTTTTACGATAGATATGGATACTTGATTATCATTTTAAACAAATTACAATTTTCATGTGTGATTGGGTTGAAAATATACATGGGGTCAAGAAGGGTAGACTAGGGTACACACTAGTGGAGCTAAATAGATTAGGCCATAAAAATGATCCCTTCATATTAGCCTCACAAGCAAGACAAGTATTTTATGTGACAAACCCACTCGATCAAAAAATGTTTATTGTCATCAACACACCTCCCAAAAATTACAGAGATGTGTATGAGGAGAATGATGAAGAATTTAGTACTGTAGTTTCTCCTTATAATGATAATATACTACCAAGTGTTGACCCACTTGACTTGCAGAAGGAAAATGATTACTTTTGGACTGACTGTCAGGGTATTGTTATACAGACTGTATGTGTTTAATAATCATATCCTAATACTTACATATATTCATATGAAAATTCAAAATCAATGCCATGCTTTAAATTTGTAGCAATATTATTATTCAATCTTTTAACATATTATAATATGTACTTTTGTTTGTAAAAGGTAAAGGCCAAACCTTGATCTTGGTGTTTTATGTGAAAGGATTCTAAGTAGTATCTTATTTGAAGGTAATTTAAACTGACAAACATATAACCTCCTTCACCATTATGATTATTTTAATATTTTTTTTACTCTTTTAGTATGTTAAAGATAAACCATTTCGATGCAGGTCTTGACAGATGCATGCTATACTTTCTGTTTCGCTCTAGAGTGTTCAAAAAAGTATAGTTACTTCCATAATGATAAGAAATCATTGCTTGGAAGTTTGTTTGGAAGTTTGTGTCATTATGCATGCTAGTAACTACTTCGTATGGTGTTT